TTTTTTCTTTTAGTTAATCCTCGATATTTAAATGGTAATGATGATGATGATGAAGATGAAATTTTAAGTAATCCTCGTCGGCCATCACCAACAAGTCAAACATATAGTAGTAGTAATGCATCATCAGTTCGTTCAGTTGATATTGAAATCGAAATTAATAAGAAAAATGATAAAAATCATTGTATTCGTTCAAATAAAAAAAATATTACAGATATTATACAACAAGAAAAAGTAAATTTATTTATTATTATTTACCGAAGTAAACAAACAAAACTTTCTTTTATAGGTTCATTCGAAACGTTCTTATATACATCGACCCGTACATCAAACAAAAGCATCAGAATTACGTCGTCTTCAAACTCAGTCACGTCGATAAAACATATATATATATATCTTAATTTTCAATTCAATTATACAATCAATTTTTTTGTTTTGTAAAAAGAATTTCATCTATCTCAGATTTTTTTTTCTTCTTTTATGTCAGATATACAATGTAATTACTGATTGAGTCCTATATTAAAATTTGTTTATTAATTTTTCAAGCCAAATAATCAGAAAACCGTCAGCTATCTTTCAAATGAAGTCATATTTCTTTTCTTTTTTCTTGTTTTCTTTTTCATATTCAATTAGTGTCTATCGAAAGTTTTTTTTTTTCTTAAAAGAAAAGAATAATAAATGTTAGTTAAAATAAAACATATCAATGATTTGATATAATAGAAGAAAAAGATAATAAATGAATATATAGTTATGAAAGAAAAGTACAGCATAATGTCAATGATAAGATAATCAAACAAAAAAATATTATCATGTATATTATACTACAAAGTTCACATAGAGTAAAGAGAATTTCAAAGTATATCGTACTTTTGTTTTATAGATCAAACTAAGTACATACATTTTTAAAAAACAGAACAATAATGAATATATATATGATAACCTCAATCATAAGAGAAATAAACATGGATAAAGTAGAAAGCTTTTGTCGATATATATAGTAAAACACAGTCATTTTTTATATGACATCCAAAATATGTACTCTCTCTCACAATAATATATCTTTTATGGAGTATATAAAAGGTTTGCATGACATATATATATAGCAGTCTTGATTATTATACTCATAGACATAAATACCATTATAGAACAAGGACATATATGATTAATCAGTTGATACAAAATGCATTGGCAATGAATATCTATTCGTCGAATATTTAATGATATACCATTAGTTTCTGTGATATGATTGTATTGACTGGTTTCGAAATTTTAAACAAAACAATACACATTGACCATTCTATCACCGCAATTTTAACGAGTTTGTACAAATTAAATTGTAATATTATTTAACAATATACTACACGTGACTGATGTAATTATTGAGTAAATGATACCGATAAATTACAAAAATTCAAACAAACGAAATTATATATGCTGTTGTATCACTCATAGTACTAGTTGATATTATATTTTGTGTAATTCTTGGGGGTATATATTAATATACATACACTTCACATTCAATGATTATAGATCAATTGTTTCATAGATCTTCAATTTATTCCATAAATTATATGACCTAAGTAAATATCATTACTAATACATATTCAACTAAACATACTATAATATTTATTAAATCTTAAAACGATGTTTTCTAATACGTTTCTTTGAACTTTTCTTTTCCAATTCTTAATGAAAAAAGGTCATATATAATATATAGATAACTTATCTTTCTAACATTTCATATCTTCGATAACACTTCAAGAAATAATAAGTGTTAAATCAACAGCAAAACATTTTCCCCAACTTAAGGTTCTGATTCATAGGGAAAACAATTTCAAATATCAAATACGTTTTTCTTTCTCGTTCTGCATCTGTTTTATTCTTGCTTACTCTTTCAGCAAAACAAAAATATCGACAAAACAACAAAAAAAAAATGAATCAACGAAAAAAACAAACAACAAATCTGTTTGGCCTGTTGTCTTGTTTTTCTTCTGCATGCAGTCAATTAGATGTCTACAAAATAAGAAGAAGAAGCAAATATTTTTTTTTATAAGTAGATATTATCTACTCATTTCGTATGTCTGACTTTACAATATACACAACACAGGCTCAATCCGACAGACAAATAGACAGCAAAACAAGAAAAATTCAAACGTACAAATAAAGAATGACATGAAAATTAAAGAAATAGTTTAATATTTAGTTGACTTCCTTTTTTCTGTTTATGCTTTTTGTTTTGATCCAGGAGCAAAACGACCACCGGCACCACGAACACGATTCATTGCATGTCGATGACGGGATTCATGAAGAAATTTACGCTAAAAATATATATATCAATATATTAATAATGAAATTTATTCGAATCGGGTTTTTTTGTTTCTTTCAACATACACATACTTTACGTTCGCGTGGAATTCGTCCTTCAGCTTCAAGTTTAGCACGAGCAGCACGTCGTTTTAATATTCGATTATATTGTTTAGCATTAACATATAATGGTTCTTCTTCTGTAGGTTCAGATGTCACAGTTGTTTGTGTTTGTGATTGACCTGACGATGACGTTGTCAAACCACTTGTTTGCATTTGAACAGCTTGTAACTGCCCTGAATTACCTGGTACCATCTATAATTTTCAGAAAATGAAACAGATTAAGATTATTTTATATTAAATCAAAAAAAGAAATTTTTCGTACCATTATAACCGTTCCATTTTGTTGATTTGTTGTTGTTTGATTTTTAGTTGGTGTGGATAATTGTATAAGTTGTTGTCCATTACTACCGAGTTGAAGAGCACTAGCTGGAATAGTAATAGTTTGTGGTTGTTGTGTTGTTTGAAGATTACTTAATTGTAAAACTACAAAAAACAAAATAAATATTTTATAGACAAATAAGTATTTAAGATAATTTCTTATATACTTTGTCCACCGACTTGTACATATTGTGTTTGTTGCTGTTGAGATTGGTCACCACTTTGTAATATAATTAATTGACCATCAGCTGTTTGAAGAATTTGTCCTTGTGGTAAGGTTGTTGTTGTAGTTGAATTTGATGTTGGGGATGTACTTGCTTTCAGAATAATCTAAATATAATGATATATATAATTTTAGAATATAATATCTGCATATATGCTCAATAAAGTTTTTACTATTTTAGATATATTCTTATTCTCTATTTACTTACAGATTTAATGCCTTTTTTTCTAATTTTTTCTTCGAAGATATAGGGAGTCAAATAGAAAGAAAATTCGGGGTTTTTTTTACTTGATATACCTGTTGTCCATTTGCAAGACTTGTTCGTTGTTGTTGCATAAAATCATTATTATTTAAAACAATAACATTTCCACCTGATGTTCCTATGGAATTTTGTTGCGAACCGGATGAATCCATTTTTAAACGGACTAAAAAATAAAATCCATATAGGATTAAAGTTTATTAATAAAATGAAAACAAAAAAACGAAATTCTAAAAAAAACTTCATTGTTTTTTTTTGTTCTCGAATATACCTCATTAATAATGGTTTGGAATTATTTTCAATCATTGTAAATAATATAAATAAGAATTTCCTGCTGTAATTTATATATATTTTTTTTTCAATGCATGTTATGTTCTTTTTTTTCTTCTCTCTGTCTCAAACTCAACTGGTGGGAATCGG